CCTGGTGTGTAGTGTCTGGTGTGTGGTGTCTGGTGTGTAGTGTCTAGTGTGAAGTGCCTGGTGTGTATTGTCTGGTGTGTAGTGTCTGGGTTGTAGTGTCTGGTGTGTGGTGTCTGGTGTGTAGTGTCTGATGTGTAGTGTCTGGTGTATAGTGCCTGTTGTGTAGTGTCTGGTGTGTAGTGTCTGGTGTGTAGTGTCTGGTGTGTAGTGCCTGTTGTGTAGTGTCTGGTGTGTAGTGTCTGATCTGTAGTGTCTGGTGTGTAGTGCCTGGTGTGTAGTGTCTGGTGTGTAGTGTGTAGTGCTTGGTGTGTAGTGTCTGGTGTGGAGTGCCTTGTGTGTAGTGCCTGTTGTGTAGTGTCTGATGTGAAGTGTCGGGTGTCTCAGTGTGTACTGTCTAGTGTGTCGTGCCTGGTGTGTAGTGTCTAGTGTGGAGTGCCTGGTGTGTAGTGCCTGGTGTGTAGTGCCTGGTTTGCAGTGCCTGGTGTGTAGTGTCTGATGTGTAGTGCCTGGTGTGCAGTGTCTGGTGTGTAGTGTCTAGTGTGTAGTCCCTGGTGTGTGGTGTCTGATGTGTAGTGCCTGGTGTGCAGTGTCTGATGTGTATTGTCTGGTGTGTGGTGTCTGGTGTGTCGTGTCTGATGTGTACTATCAGGGTTGTAGTGGTGTCTGATGTGTAGTGTCTATTGTGTAGTCCCTGGTGTGAGGTGTCTGATGTGTAGTACCTGATGTCTACTATCTGGGTTGTAGTGGTGTCTGATTCGTAGTGTCTAGTGTGTAGTGCCTGGTGTGCAGTGTCTGATGTGTATTGTCTGGTGTGTGGTGTCTGGTGTGTAGTGTCTGATGTGTACTATCTGGGTTGTAGTGGTGTCTGATGTGTAGTGTCTAGTGTGTAGTGCCTGGTGTAACTTAAGTCGCCTCTGTCGCATGCCGAGATCTGTAACAGTTACAGAGTGGTGAACGTGGCGTAAACTCAAAACACAAACAACCATAACCCATTCTACAATCATACTAACATTGCATCATAATTGTCATAATCTGGACTTTGATCCCCTGGTATGCACAAGGGGAATATGAACCAAACCGAGTTTGAAATATTCACTAGGATGGTTGCCAATGCAGACGCCATTTTGAATGTAGCTGACATCGCACGGTCAGCGACAAAACATTGACTAATGCCTATACTTGAAGTATATTTATTTATTACACATGCGGGATCTGAAAGTCCCGAGATATGATGACACCAACGTCATGTCCATGTATTTTTGTACGTTGTCAACAAATATTTCGCAATGCACAAGGTGAAGACTCGAATCTCGTGTACATCTATTTATAACCCAGCGCGTTCACTCTTCAAAGTTAACTGTGGGTTTGTTTTGCGTCAGCTTAAATCAGCATGCCCCGAGGTATTGATTATTTTTCCAAAGGTCTTCATGTACGGGGATATATTTTTCCAGATGTAGATTCATCCAATGTTTCGATCTCAAGTAAAATGCCACGAATATTCTCATTACGTTCAATGTGCCGTATGGAAATTTAAAAATACAATCAATCAAATGTCCCACGTCGGTGCAACGGTGATGCGAGGTGAATCGGGATGGCATGAGACTGTTTAAGGAACATGTACTAAGGTTTATTGGATCTTGGTCTTGATGAATCTTGTAGGAGAAAACTTAGCACGAAAACCTCGTTTCTCTCTCCTGTCTGTCACGACCCCGCTTTGATTATCGCAGTTTAGTGGGTTTGACTGATAGATGGGATGTGTGTCAGATGAACTGATGCGTCAGGGATGCGTATGTCTGATTAGGTATTGGGTCAGGGATGCGAATGAATGAATGAATGAATGAATGAATGTAAGGTGAGGTGATGCGTCAGGGATGCGAATGAATGAATGAATGAATGAATGAATGTAAGGTGAGGTGATACGTCAGGGATGCGTATATCAGTTGATTTGTCAACCTAGATCAAACTAAACAATGGTATCGGAAAGACGCTTAAAGTTCGACCGAGTGTTCAGGCGTGAGTGACAGCCTAATGTAAGAGTGAGTGCATTATGTAAGAGTTGATTCGTAACGTAAGATCGAATGCCTAATGTAAGAGTGGGTGCCTAAAGTAAGAGTAAGTGTCCAACTTAAAAGTGGGTGCCTTACGTAAGATTGAGTGTCTTGAGTAAGAGTAAGTGTCCAACTTAAGAGTGGGTGCCTTACGTAAGAATGAGCGCCTAAAGTAAGAATAAGTGTCCAACTTAAGAGTGGGTGCCTTACGTAAGAATGAGCGCCTAAAGTAAGAGTAAGTGTCCAACTTAAGAGTGGGTGCCTTACGTAAGAGTGAATATCTAACGTAAGAGTAAGTGTCCAACCTAATGGGGCCGTCACACCATGACGTTCTGGTCAGCGTTCTATGACGTTTGAGGAAACGTTGGTAGTCGCCCATGGTCGCTGGGAAAGCGCCAGAAGAGCGTTGTGTGAACGCTAGTGAACGTCGGTGATCGCCGGGAATCGGCGGAGAACGCTGGTCCGGAAAAAAAAGTTTTGAACATGCACAAAAGTTCTCACTGAGACCAGCGTTCTTCAACGTTTAATTTTAAACGCTGAAGAACGTTTAAGAACGTTCGTGGAACGTTTTACTAACGTTCGCCGAGCGTTGCACGCGTTCGGCTATCGTTAGTCAGTCGTTACTCTAGCGTTACTTGGTTGTTACTAATCGTTTGCTTTGCATTGAACGACTCACTGGCGACCTGTCAACGACCGCTGAACGGTCCCCTAGCGCACGCAGCGCACGCAGACGCTATTCTGTCGTTATTCACACGTTAGTCACACGCTCAACACGCTCGTCTAACGTTGACAAATCGTTCGTCGCACGCCAGTGGCACGTTAGCACACGCTAATGGTTTTCAGGGGGATCTTACTTGGCCGCTGTTACACGCTTCTCGTGCGTTAGACACACGCTAGTCATGCGTTAGGCACACGTTAATCACACGCCAGATGTGTCATCCTCATTCTAGAACGCTCAAAAATTGAACGATTGAAATGTTCAGAGAACGTTGATCAGAACGTCATGGTGTGACGGCCCCTTAAGAGTGGGTGCCTTACGTAAGAATGAGCGCCTAAAGTAGGAGTAAGTGTCCAACTTAAGAGTGGGCGCCTAACGTAAGAATGAGTGTCCAACTTAAGAGTGGGTGTCTGACGTAAGAGTGAATGTCTAACGTAAGAATGAGTGCCTAAAGTAAGACTATTAATGAGTGCCAGTCTCATACAGATCAGATCTTAGTGCTACACGAAGATCAAAGGAAATCCTATAACAGAAAGATCTTTTATCCGAGCAATCAGAGCATCGCTTACCAGATTGCGAAGTGAATTCCAGATGTGTTTTTTAATCATGCAACCTCGAGAAGGTGAACATGTGGCATTCCGAGCGACGGTTACTGGCTGTTATGGGATAGACATTTAAAATGGAAGGGACTTTCCCAGCCCGTGGGAAGTACTGCCATACACTATCGGCCATCCATTAGACATTCCAGAATTGTCTTCAGTTTTCAAGTTTTGAATCAAGAAATTTGTAAAAATATTTTTAAACCATAACCTGGAAAGGATACCAAGGTATCAGAATGAACGTAGGTTAACGCGGTGTAAAACCATCACCTTGATGAAGACCATATGTAAATTACGATAACTTTTGGAAAAGCTTCTACAGTAAACTGCGGTTATAACGAACTCAAAGGGACCATTAATTTTAGTTCGTAATAACCGAATAACCGTAGTTCGTTATAAGCATATATACAACATATATACAACAAATGGTCGGGACTTAAAAATAAGTTCGTTATATCGGTCAGTTCGTTATAAGCGTGTTCGTTATTAACGTAGTTTACTGTATGTCATAAGTAAACTATTGTTATCCTAGTTCAAGGTCGTCTGGAAAGATTTGACAAGTGGAGTCACTAGCTTATCTTTGATGTGGTTAATTTGATTCATTTAGGAGATAAACCTAGTATGTTTTGAAATTTGATGTAGTTCCACTGTAGAGTAGATACATCTTAGTTTAATTTGGAACCGAGCGCTTTAGCCATATGAAACATGTTGTCACGAATAAAGTTTCTTCAAACATGCTTTATAATGTTTTATGTTACTGTCATTGTCGGTTGTTTCAATGAGGAAATAGCCTCTTCTGATTCTGGTCGCCACAGAATATCCCAAACAGTTTCATAAACATTTCATTTGTATGGAAAAGATATGCTACCGTTAAATCTTGTAATGACAACAACGTAGCAGTCAGGGTTGCGGCCTAGAACACCAAAGACATCCGATATCAAACTACCGTATTTCCTCTATTAGACGCTAGGCCGTCTATTAATTTCGCCCTTGACTCGGCGTGTATTAGAGACCTGACTTGTATTTGAGACCCAGCGTATAATAGAGGAAATATAGAAACATTTTACAGTTCATATGGGGTGATCGATCGGCATCCATTTTTTTATGAATCGATATGTGGACTATCGATGTATTCATACGCACGTTTTTTGTTCGAAAAGGCTAGATATATTTGAAAGGGGTTTCCGTAGCAAAAAGGAAAAGATACCCACCCGGCTCGGTTCGCCTCGAACAGTAAAGGAGCAGTGATATAACTTCAGTTTAACCCTGATCGTGATGTATAAATAGTTCGTAAAACACAACTATTGTGTCAGTCAGTCAGTCAGTCAGTCAGTCAGTGCTAATGGATATCAGGTATACGCTTAAATATGAAGACACAAGTAAACGGCAACAAGTTTTAACAGAGATATAAGGTCCAGGGCTCCGTTCCGTAGCGTTAAGACGATCGTAAATCCCATACTTTAACATAGACTTACGATAGTCGTAGCTCTATGATGGCTTTGTGGAACGGAGCCCTGGACAACTGGCATGTTGCGTTGATACGGTCACGTGAACGAAAAGTTCCAATATGGATTCCTGCCAGTTCTGGCTGATGCTCTATTGGAATGATCTGAGTCTAGTTTACAGTTACTCTACCTGATGTTTCACTGTACTGAAGATACCCTCTCTCTGACAAACTGTTGGCCCACTCCTGCGATTCTTTACACAATTCATCCGAGGGAGATAATTCTGGACTTCCGTGGCACACCCGGAACGAGTTATGTCCCTTTATCATTTCCTGTTTGAAGAGACTGAAATCTGCAAAGGAGAAAAATAACGTATATATAAATATTACCACTTCATCAAATCTAGTCGTATTCTCTAACGCCATTTCACTCTGGTTATTCAAATAATACTCAAGTCTGACAAGGCAAGTTCCCACAGAATAGTAATAATGTATTCTGACAAGGCAAGTCCCCACAGAATAGTAACAATGTATCTGTTTAGTTTGGTATAAGGCAGATTCTGGGGCACGAATGGCCCATTTGTCTCAGGTTGAGATTGGCTCTGCAGAGTTCTATACCCTTGGCACCAGAAACCTATGATCGTGGGGTCGAATTCCGGTTCGCCTCGATTTTGTTTCCAGGTTTATTAGCACCATAACCGTGCTCTTGGATTTCACCAAAGTGGTAAATGTCTGAGACCTGCACCTAACTCACTCACCATCTCAGTTACTGACCTGACATGAATATTTCAGGGCTATTTTCACAACTGTTACGAACGGATAACTTAGAAATTACATGTAATTTATTAATAACAACATTTTTTGATGATTTTAGCCGTTGGTCAATCCTATAATGAAAAAGGAAATAAATTCATGGGTCCTTGATGCAAAACTGAAATGGTGGCTGAAATGAAACAAAGAAGAAATGGTTATCGCTGGTGACGTATTTGATACGGGTATCATAGTTGTGGCCTGGATCTTAAGGCTGCAGTATTTTTGCGACTGTTTTCAGCCAAGTAACGTTTTCAAAACGTTCGCAATTTGTTTTGTCACATCCAGTTTTCAAGTGTATACTTTCTTTTACGGGGAATTGAGTTTTTAAGCGTAATGGAGTAAACAGCTGTCAAAGGCAATAGCTACTGAATCATAGTCATGCATTTATTTATTATTTCTGCATCCATATCCAAGACGTGAAAATTTGTTACTATCTAAAAACTACACATAAGACCAAGTTTTAATGATGGCATTATCAGCAAAAACACCAGTGCGGTTGAAGTTTTTAAAGAAACAAGGACGGATTTGAATTGCTGAATCATATGAATATGCTAAATAAACACATATAAACATGTGTTTCTTTCCAATGAGAAACATTACAACATTGACCGCATGGTTAGTCTGCTCCCTTCTAGGAAAAAATGTACCGGAACTAGCTACATACACTGAAAAACTGCGGAAACTCTCAACACCTTGCTGACGTTGTACGTCATTGACTGTATTTTTAAATCCCAACCGCTTCTCCCTTCGGTCCAAAGCACTTTCATATCTCTTATTCTGGCCAGGTGATTCTATGGTAGTAACATCTGCACACACGACTAATTTCATAGATTGACGTTTCTATCTGCTACAAGAACATTTGATCAGCTGACCAACATTTTCTTTAAGGCTCAGGCAGGACAAACAGGCGTCACTAAAATGGCTGTTTTGCATTTAAAAAGTGTTTCAGTCGTGTTCTTGTGGATAATTAGCTGAGAACATAATTATAGTAAACAGCATGTCTTCCATGAAAAAGATATTAACGTTTCTCCCCGGAGGATATACATCTACACAGCCGAGAAGCGAGTTTCCATGTTTGTCGTTGTTAGTTGCGAGGGTCATGGTCACTAACGGAGTGTACGGGATTTTACGAGATGAATACACTTGTACACCACGAGACTGAGGGTCAAGGTGTGAACATCAGCGTTCAACGCGTTAAATGCCATACACCCTACTATTGACACACGTAACACATCTGCCAATACGAATTGACACAATACAAAGAACTGTAATTTGCTTGTGACAATATCTATCTAATGACCGGACTGGCAGTATGCTAACAAGCAAGTGACGTCACGTCAAACGACACATGACTTCGTGATAACCGAACGTGGCGGCCGGCCGACCTCGCCGACCTGCAGGTGTTGCATGACGTACGAAGGTACCCTATTCTGTATGTTGGTTTTGAGATCGGGGCCTCCAGATTGTCATGTAACACATGACGGAACAGATGCCAACACACTGAGTGAGTGAGTTGGATTTAAGGCCGCTTTTAACAATATTCTAGTTATATCGCGGCGTGTCAGCTTAATTTGGGAGGAAAGCCCGAAGTGACGCAGGTCTCAGACGTTTACCACGGTGAAACCCACGAGCACGGGTATGGTGCTGACAAACCTAGAAACATAATCGGGGCGAATCGGGATTCAAACCCACAATCATAGTTTTCTGGCGTGCCCAAGGGACGCAACTCTGCACAGCGAATTGCGGCGCCTAAGACGACTGGGCCACCCGTGCCCACCAACACACTGAGGGTGTAAAATCGGGCTGTGCAATCGTCACCGGTTGAGCCATGCAATCCACACTCGTCTGGCTATACAATCGACACAAGTGCATAATCTCGTCCCGCAAAACGGTGACAGTCTCAGTGGTCTTGTGGTAGAGCGTCCACCCGGAGAGCGGAAGGCCGGGTTCCCCAGCCGCGTCATAGACATTAAAAGAGTGTACTTATTTATTGCATTTAGCAAGATTTCGATAAATGTTCTCACACTGTTATGAAGCTGGAGAAATTTAGTATCTGTTGTTGTTGATTAATCTTTGAGTATGACAACATATCATGTATTTATACCTCTCGTCACTGGGTTGTAGTCTCTCCAGCTTGATACCACAGGAACTCGATGATAGCGTGTGTAGCATAATATATTCGTATAGAAAAAATCACACCCCTCTATATACATATAGACAAGGAGTGACACCCGCCATCTTGGTCCTTATTCAAGAATTCGTACTCGGTTCGAATCACAGCGAGGGTTCGAAATATGAATGTCACTTATTTCAACCTATTGGCACCTGCTAAACAAACCATAGGCTACACAATCGCTTTCATCTGTTGTCACCTTACCTCGTATTTATTTTAAACAACCAACAAATGTCAGCTCTACGCTGCGCTGCTGAGGTAAACAAGAAAAAGGTGGCCGGAAATTATGGCGCTTCACGGGCTTGAACTCAGCAAACGTTTGTTCTTTAACTTCATTTGAGTAGTATAGTTGTTCTCGTTGTCCGCAAGTACAGGGGTGACAGTGAAACCGCAGGTATTCAATACGGAACAGTGACTATGTTTCAAGTCCATGCTTAAAACAGCGCGAAGCTCTTGTTGCACATTTCGGCAAACTGCGTCATAGCATTCGGCTGAACACCGCGCACTTGCGCGCGTTTTCCTACCCACGGGTAGACTTGAAAGAGAACCTCCAAACCTGACAATTGGCCCGTCTGAATGTAATTAAGCGGAACAGGCCCACAGGCCAACGTATGCTGTAAATCTAGCATCTTCTTCAGAACGCTCCCGGTAGACTGACATTGGGCCCAAGAATAAAGTTATTTTATTTAAAAGCATATATCTACAAAATATATTTTTTTATCCAAATGGAGTCCAGAACCATCTTTATATTTTTCAGCCTTGAGCTGAGGCAATCCAGACTTGCAAAACATTCTAAATTTGAGTTGGACTTTTAAACATTTATTCTCTAGAGTCTGGGAGACTCTCGGGGGGGTCTCGTTCTTTCACCCACGGTAGATCTGAACGATAACCCCCTCACCTGACAATAGATCCCTCTGAATAATAATTAGCGGAACAGTCCAAGACTGATAGGTATGCTGTATACCCGATCGAGAGGAGCTGGAACTCCAGTAACAATTACTTACACCATGGGAATATGTACAGTGTGGGTGATGTCATTAAATACACCAGCACATCGCCGTGCATGCTAGCGACGACGCCAGTGTCAACTGACATCACATTGTAACAACCACGTGAGTGTATAGTGCACGTGCGCCATGTGCACGTTCATGTCAACCCCTGAACCTAAATGAACTCTACCAAGTCACGGAGATCCCCTTTTTGTCAAACTTGTCACTTCCTCGCTGTTCAAACACGCTTGTATTCACAATGTGTTTGGAACGATGCACATACAAACAGTTTACATGAACTTGGTGTAGACGTGGCCAGTGCACATTATAGCCTGTCCGTTGACGTGCACGGAGTAATTTGGGAAGTTGACATAATAAGAGTGACCTAGAAAACCTCCTTGGATATCATTTGGTCATCCAACTTAAACCCCTTGTCTGCCTCGCAGAATTACATCAGAAGAATCTTCAAAACCCAAAACCCTAACGGGTCTTAGCCTGTCTCATTGTCTCTGAACCGTATTATTCCCCTTCCGCCCAACCTTACTGTAATGCTAGAGCAAGTCTAGATTTTCCACCGGAATCTTCCATCTCACTATGGCTCCTTTTCAATTTAACAGGAGTTGTTTGTTTCTGTCAAAATTATATATTTTCAAAGACTAAGCTTCAGTCTATCTCTTACCCTGCAGTACCTTACTGTATGCAAAACGCTTCGTGTTGTCAATATTGATTTCCTGATTTAGCCTTATGAGATGAAAAGATATGTACTTCTTACGCGTGTGCACAATAGTTATTTACTTAGTGTACAGATACACACATATGCTTTTACAAGCGACAACCAGTTACTATAGCGATCTCGTCAGACTGTTCTTGTTATCGACGTGTTTGCGACATGCAGAGCTATATGAAACTATCAGCGACAGCTATCGAACGAAATATGTGAATTATTTTTGAAAGAAATATACTACAAAAAAGTTCAAGAACACCCGAATTTTTCATATGACGACAGTTAATCTGTCCTTGCTGGTGTGTATTGCAAAACACAGCCTTCCAATTATAGGTGTTCCTTTACTTGTTTTAAGTAGTATATTACACCCTGATGTAACCCTCTCGGGATAGCGACGGGTCGTATATATCGTTCCTTGTGGGTTCATGATGTCAAAGAATAAACGCAACACATATTTTTCAAAGAAATCCCAATAGCATTTGGGTGGTTCGACAACACAGTTCGACAACACCCGGGTTCGATTCCAAAAATTGGTACAATGTTTTTCCTGTCAACCGTCATATAGTTGGAATATTACCTAATTCGGCGCAAATTCCAACTCGCTACACAATCATAGTTGCTCAACCACGAACGTTTTAAACGTTAGGGACGCTT